GTACCTGTCGCCTTATTGTTTATATACATTAGATGTGTGAAAATGTCAACTATTGGTTAATATTTGAAAGATATTTTACAGTTAAATATATTGGTTCATATGTGTCTATAACGCTGGGAGGGGCGAGCAGGAACATGCGTCTGGTTGCATTATGTAAACGTAGGATCCACTGTTTCAGGGACTAGAAGTGGCATTCTTCTCATGATGTGTCTCTTAAGGGCCACAGCTCTACAGGAGTACAATACTAACTCACTATAGCACTCATAGAACACCGTGTCTGCTGGAATGGATCACCGTGTCCTGTGGAACTTATCTCTAACCTAAATCTACACAGACGCTAGCTGTGATCAATGCAGAACAGAGAACCTGAAGTCAGTGTCTGATGTCAACATTTAAAACAACACGTTAGCTTACAGCACAGGCACTTACATGAACCTGGTTAGTGCACCATGCTTTGTCAATATTCCAAAGATAAAAGAGAGAAATCCAGTGTGATCCTGTTCCTGAACGCGTCATCAGCACTGGGGGATTACACTGACTGCCAATAACACAGGTAACAGAAAGAGCAGACAGCCTGCCAGAAAAACAAGAACGTCCGTCTCCACGTTGATCGGACCCAACGGTCTGCGTTACCTCATCAGCTCTCACATTTCCAATCCCATCGTCTTACCTTGTCGTTGAGGTCCAACACGTAGGTGCTGTGTCTCCACTTGGTGAGCACGATGGGGTCCTGCTGCTTCCTCTCCAGACTGCGACTCTTGGGGACCTCGCCGGACTGAGGGGAGATGTTGTACTGCGGAGACAGAGAGGACAGCTTTAAGACGTCATGGAGCTCCTTTAGCGCACCCCTTCGGTACCTGTCCTCTGCCCTACCTCTCCTCTCACTGTCCACAGCACCATTGGACAAAGGGACTTCTCCTTACATCCCAGGCATCGTCTGCGACCGTCTGCTGAAGGCACCCATGTCCGCGCTACTGTCCACTCATGGACCGCTCTATTCAGATTAGCAGCTAACGGGCCAGTAATAGTCCCGTCACCCGGGGTTCAACTTAAAGCTGGAGCCCGTCAGACGGTCATCCACTTACATTAACAGGACCAGTCTTAAGCATACACAGCGGGAGGAGTCACACAAAAGTGTGTCACTGGGTGATGTAATATGAGGGATCTGTCCAGTCGCTTTTGAATGGGGTGTGTTGGATGTAATAGGAAGACAAAGGACAGCTAATGTTCAGAGGATAGTCTTACCTTGGGCAGTTCCCATTCGGACCTGGACCCGTCAGAGCTGTAGTAGTAGGGCCGGCCTTGTTCATCCAAATGTTTTATCCACTGCCAACACAAACACCAGTCAGCATCCAGGAAAAAGGGGAAAATATCTGCATATGTGATGCAGATGGAATGTGCAGGGGTGGATATCAAATGACACCGCCGTCCCTGGACAAGTTTAATCAATGAACCGCACCTTCTCCTGTGTGTATTCGGAGACGTAGAGCGTGTGTCCGTGTTCATCCAGCTCCTCGGACCAGCCTCTAGGGGGCGACCCGTACTGGCTGTCAGACAGACTCGAGTGGGTGCTGTGACAGTTCTCCTCCGAGGACAGCGGCTGTGGAGGACGGAGGACGAGAGACGGACGGCTTTATGATACACGTTTTTTATGTGGTTCATTAGTAGACACAATAAATACACCATGAAGACATTAAAAACATTTTAAAAACTTAAGAGTATGGCGGGGTTTAGCAGCCGGTCAGCTTAGCGGTAACAGTTATCCTGGCTAACATACAGTATCATGTGTTAGTCTGGGAGCTGTAGATTTGCTGGTAGACACATTATTGTTGGAATCCTCTTCTTCTCCTTCATTTTTTAAGCTACAGAAACCGTTCAACTATCAAAATGTTCAGCTCTTTAATGACATTTCTGCTATGACTTGTCATATTTCTATCTCTTATGCTTTATGAATTATTAAGCTTTTTGCAATTTTAATTTTGAATGGGATTTCAATGGAGAAAATATTCAAATCCTCTTAAACTTCTTCAACTTTGAAATCCTTCAACTTCGTCATATTTTCAGCTACAGACACCATTTCAACTTTAAAATGTTGGGAAAACCCTGATCTATTGCCACAGTATTCAGCTTTTTGATATATTTTAAACTTTTTGAACTGCAGCAATTTAACTTTTATGATTTTTTTCAGTCCTTTTCTGACTTTATAATGGGTGTGTATTGCGCAGCTTAGAGTGCGTGATGTCACCACTAGAGTGAAGAGCAGCTTGAGATTCTTGTGAAAAAAAATTTGTGTTTTGCCACTGAGTCCACAATCTTCACTCGTCATGCATCATTTCTGGATTTAAAAGTAGCTAATATTGTCCTTGTCGTAGACAAATGACTGTGGAATCCCACAGATTTACACATTTGGCACAGAAGCCTGTAATTGAGAGGAAAACCAACTTTCTGCTCCATAGAGACCAATGTTAAATTTTGCTTCAAAAACATCTTCCACAGAGCACGGTACCCCATTTCTAGATCGCCAGTTCAGCCACATTTTTTACACTACAGACACAATTTTTACAGGATCTGTTCTTCAACTCATCCTTCCTCTCATTTATTAATATCGGAGCAATAGGAGCTACGGTTATGGGAGTTTTGAGGATTTGTTTGAGAGGTGTTTCCCTGTTTAATCTCCATGAAAAGGCTGCAAGGACACAGGTGTTTCTGATTAAGCTAATTAGTGATGTTGATAAACAGACTCACACGCACTCCTCTCTCTCTCTCTCTCTCTCTCTCTCTCTCTCTCTCTCTCTCTCTCTCTC